TTAATGCAACTTTTAATTACTATTATTATACGTCATTGATCCCAGAATCATTTACCACATTACCAATATTTTATTCTCTTCATATAATGAGTGAAACAATGCAAATGGCCATGTCTGCTGTCACTGCAATACGTACAAAATGTACATGATTAGGCCTTTTGCTTTACAGCACTGAGCATCACGTGAGCAGAGCGCATGCAGCACATGTTAAATAATATCCGGACAACCAAAACTCTTGAGGGACAACCATATGCTACTCTCTTGGTTGTCCTCCGGACAACACAAAAAAAAACTTAAAATTGAGCACTGCTCATGGATATGAACTAATGTAATCTATGGTTGCCATGTAATGACAGACTATATCAATAGCTGTGATAACATTGTGGTCATGTCCAATGATATCTATATATCGTTATAATCTGGCAAACTTAAAGATCACTGGCAGCAGGGTCAAGTCCATCATGCTCACACTATATACAGGGGTAGAAATTATCTTTTGAAATGGCAAGTCGGACTCCCTGCCCTCAAAAAGAGGGAGTCCGCACAGGGTTCGAATTTTGGCTGAAAATCTAGTGGACAGCAGGACCACCAACTTCAGAAATGCTTATTTACTAGCAGTGAGTAACAAAATAGTATACAAAAATAACCATTGGCATCAACAGCATACATGTAACTTAGAGTTGGTCAAATAATATATTTCAACTCTAGGAATGTCGGGGGAGCTTCTGGGAAAGGTTTTACTTTCGTTTTTCGCCTCCCCAGTCATCGGTACTCCATGCATAGATCAATGCTGCCGCACATCTGCAAAGTTACAAGTGCCTAGAATCTTGATGAAATAGAAGTATATACAGTTTACATTGCTTCTCGATATCTAACTGAATAAAAATAGTCCACTTTCTGCATAAAGAAAAGTGACGAATTAAGTTAACAGCTTTGATTACGTGCGTGTCAGGTGTCACTGGTCGTACCCTCACTCCCCACGATAACCCCTGCGACACATGAACTTATTGTTATGCGGTCATAAAAACACTGGGCTACGCTACATGCCGCAATCGATTTCTTTGACTGTCACGAGGTTATGTTCGTGTGGCGAATCATGCGTTGAGAGAGTTCTTGCCCTCGGCTCTAGATGTTTTGGATATCCCGTCTACGGAACAAAACGTATTAGAATGCGCTCCCGTTTACAAGTCTGTCTAAACTGCCGTTGCGATAACCGTAGTATTTCAGCGTAATATGAGGGGAAAAACTTGGTGGCCTCGGGCCTCCGGGTTGGCACTAATTTTGAATGCTGAGTCCGCAGCAAAATGAGGGAGTCCGCAGCCTGAAGTTCAAACCCAAAGATATTAACAATAACGCATGTGTTTATTTTGAAGATTCATGCGGTTGCACGTCTGCCAAATTTTCTTTGGACATTTGCTGAAAAAATACCGCAATTCTGCGAGGCCGTGCTCTGGAACGAACTAGCTAGTACATATGGCAGAATTTTCAGGGAGTCACACGGACATCAGCCTGATACGTCAATAGGGAGTCCGACAGTTAATCAGGAGTATTTTACTACGGACTCGCGTTAATTTGACCCAGATAAGGTTCCCACGGATGAAATCAAACAGGGGGAGGGGAGGGGTAGGTGGGAGGGGGGGGGGGTCCCGGGCGTGTATTTTTACCGTACGACTATTAATGCGAGAAATCGCACTCACACCATAGACGGTATTTGGGTTCTTGTATAGTATAGTCAGGCCGGAGTCGGTGTCAGTTAGCTTACAGGGCTTAACTTGTGTACTGTATGAGTGCTGCGTGGTACGGTAAAATACAGCGTCGGGGAGTCGCGTCGTCCTGGTCGATCGGAAATCTTGACGGTCGATTCCCGCGCTGGCAAACTTTTATTGTGGTGGAATTTAAACGGGGCGGAGGTAATTCAAACGGGGCGCAACGATTCAAACGGGGCGCAACGATTCAAACAGGGGGGAGTTTTCCCAACCGGGGCGCGGGCGTTTGCGCAACGTAGGGAGAACCCTGAGATATATATAAACCTTTATATATAGAAATGTAATGTGAGTGTGGTGAACTGCTGTCAATGGTGAAGATGTGCAAATATCATACAAAACTCAGTGGCTACTCCTGCAGTAAACAGAACTGCGGTTGTTTTGGTTTATGCCAGAGCACCGGCACTCTCACAATCATTGTCACGTTATGGTCTAGTAAACTTATTCTGCATGCACCAATAAAAAAAACACATGAACAACATGTGAATATCGGTAATGAAAAGGCTCCCACATGTGAGTGCCGCACTTTACAGATTAGGGCAACATTCCTATTTCCAGTTACCAGATCAGAACCAAATGCCCGTATAAAAATGGCTTCATGAGTGTACCGTACGTCATCATGTCATTGGATTTTGAGCCTAAAATAGATTTTCGCAGGAACCACGTAAACAAAGATGACATTTTCCTAATTATTAAAGCTATATACCTTAATCAAGTCAATATATAGTTAGCTACCTGCTCTGATGCTTTTCTTAGTTGTTTTTCTCGTTCATACTGTGTGACCAGCTGCTCATTGTCTTCTCTTAACAATTCCAGTTCAACTTCATGTTCCTGATTGTCCTGATATGATAGGTCTAAACTCTCCAAGACGCTTACGACTAGAGGCATCAATTCTTTAACTACATCTTCGTCATATTTTTGTATCATTCGCTCAAATTCCTTGTATACGCTGCTGGCAAGGGTTGACACTCGTTCAGACATCACACTGGGCGAGTCCTCGTTAGTTCCATACACGATTTCCATGTCGTTTTCCATTGTGATGTTTGGGTTGCGTCGGGATTAGCACAGGTTAATTATTAATGTAATAATTCACTGGTAAAACTGTCCTATAAAAATTATATGACAGATTAAAATCAGCCATTTAAAATCAAAATATGGAACGATGTAGACATTCTCCCAACTTGGTCGTTCGATCACGTGACCTATCGCCTCTCTATATCCTGACATTATTATTATTTAATCGCGCTCACCCTAGTAATGTTATTTATGTCATAATAGCTGTTTTTATTAATCTTTTAATATAATTAGTACGATCGTTTTGCTGTTTTGTATATATATCACTTAAAATGAGTCTTCAAAATAAATAACCGCGCACGAAGTAGCGACGGGGTAGGCGTTATTTAAACATGGCGTCCTGTGCATATCTTAGGTTATTTCGCGTAAATGCTTTTAAAACAAAGTCACTGCTTACACCAATAATAAGCAATGGGCAAACACAACGTTCATATTCTAACCAAACATTATCTGGTAAAACGGTCAGAATAGGTTGTGCTTCAGGCTTTTGGGGTGACACTGCTGTTTCAGGTATGTTGACGTGCCGGTCACTGACTGTACAGACTACAGAGTACAGTACAGACTACATTATACTGTATACTGTAACTGTATAGCTCCAAGAAACGGTCTTGCTAGGGTTAGAAGACCGTTTCAAACATTGGCTGCAGCTAAACACGTAGTTGTCTTATTTGCCAAGTATCGCCAAAGAACACTTCACATGTGATATACCAAATGAATCAGCACATCCACGTTTTTGTAACCATCACTCGGTGCGCTACGATGCGCTGGGTACCGGTACTTACGGGGTTACAGCGACTTTTTGGACGAATGCAACCAAATTTATTAGTAGGTCTCAGCAGAGAGATAGTGAATATAGAAATAAGTTTTGGATATAGAAATCAGTTAACCCTAACCCTAACCCTGTCCCTAATTCTAAAATAAACAAAATTAGCCAAAAATAATAAAAAATAAAATAAATAAGAGACAAAATCAGCCAATCATAGCCGTCCCCTAGTGAATCACTATCTCTCCCCTGTGCAAAATTCCAAATTTATGAATTCGCCACCATGTTGTATCATTCCGACTGTGACTAAAATCCGCAATGGATCGAACAAGGGAAATTAAACGATCTGCGGTCTGGATATATGGTTAAATTAGAATCTGAAGACGAATAGCTTGCCTTTAATCTGATCACCTGTTTACTATATATATGTAGAAATATTCCACATCATTGACAATTTAAAAAAAATGATTTGTGGAGCCCCGAAAAAAATGTAAATTTCCGTAGTTTGGTAACACTTATAAATTACATGCAACCACTGTTATAAAAGCTAGCTAGATATGTGTTATGGATGTGTAGGTATACAATTTAAATTAGTCTAGCTGCACATGAAACATTGACAATCCAATATAGATACTCGTATTAAACTGGCTACTGGGTCACTGCTAATTTTAACCATCCGAGTCACCCAATGTGTTTTTATGGGTAAGGTTTTAATTCAAATTGACCTAATCTGTGGAGTCACTTACAAATAGTGACGGGATTGAAGAAAGAACTGACTTGAATTGGCATTTATAATGTATACCAACACATTTTTAAAGTATGCTGTTGACTAGCTCATCGGCTTTTCTAACAGTTTATCTTTGTTTATCTAACAGTAACAAGTATCTACAAGTACAGTCCACAATGACTGTGCAATAGCAAAAATCCAATATAATCTACAACACCTAGCATAAATTTTACTCGTAACTTATTGACGATTCAGACAAAGGTTGGCTTATTTCCACAGTTGGGTTGCATATTTTTCACAACGACGCCCTTTTCTTATAAAAACTATTTTATTCAGTGAACTGATGATGACTGAACTGAATTCACCATTGAGCTTAAACTTCAAACTCTTATAGCTTGCTGCACATGCAAATTGCTTCGTGACAGCTTGCTCCGCTCACACACTGTATGATAGCTGTTAGCATATATATATGGAGATTCGAGAAACAACAGCACTGCTACGTGCCACTGAATATCATTGCACCTTAAATTCCTAAAAAGGTTCATTTTTTTCACAAACTATCTTGAGGTACTAGTCTACTAGACAAAATGACTCAGGTAACATCCTGAAAAAGCTGATGTCGGATTGTTAGCTAATCTAACGACCCACTGTAATTAGCGAGTTTTTTTAAACAAATTACAACCATTATTATTATGAAAGTAATATTAAGACACATGCCCTGATCTGATACTACTAAAGCTCATATGACAACGTATGGTGACAGATTTCACCATAAAAATGCAAGGCTATCATAGTTCCCTGATCCAATTTAGGTAGGGAACAAATTATCATAGTTAAAGACTCCATAGTCAGAAATAATTCAGTTCCATGTCTAATGATAAACAAAACACTAATATACACAATGTCATTATATATACTTAGGTTACAATCAGGAGTAATATTTGTCCCTCATCAGTGCTCAATTTTAACAGTCGTCCGGTCGTCCGTGACGACTGGATTTTTCTCTCGGGCAG